CCCTTCCTCTTTTCGGTAGGTTGTACTTGTTTGTTTTTGGAAGTTTCCACGTTAGTTCCAGCCCACTGCCTGGGTTGGAAGTCGGAAAGGAAATGAATGTTGGGAGCTCTCCGGGAGGCTGATTGGTACTTCCTCGCAGATGCTAGAGGCTGGGTAAACCCTTGCGCCCTGCCTCCTGGGCAAGAAGCAATGCTAACTAAGCATCCAGTCGGAAAAAGAGGGCACCACACCATGGAGTTACTTGGAGGTTAACCACCTCTATACACTGCAAGCCCAAATCAGATCTCAGCTCCACTGTGTCCAAAGCTTAAACACATTGCTGGATTTTACTCTTTTCATTTGGACCACTTGGAAGACTCCTATTTCAAGTGAATTTTAATAGTCTTCTCTCTGAGCCCAGAAAGATAAGAGATCTGGGACAGAATTTCAGTGTCTTATTCTACCACCAACATATTCAGAAGACTCCTCCCAGTCAATTTTCTTGAACATCATCCATGTCATTAGTGTGATACTTTGCACAGGTATTTTAAAATGCCAAAAACAGTGTTTTGCATAATTTCAATAAAAAGTACACAATTATTCCAGATACCCTTTTCATATACTTCAGGAGAATTACGTATCTTTAATGTATAAATCTGCTCAGTCTTCATAATTTAGTGGTCTTGAGTATTAAGGCCTTTTTTGCTAACTGTTCTGTGAGTGACTGACAAACACGATGAGAAGTTAGGGAAGGGTTAAGTTTCATCCATTCAAAAGTGCACCCTCCTTCCAAGAGGAAGGACTAGGATCTGAAAGGCTCAGTTCCCAGGGTTTGGATAGAGGACTTTTCAGGACTGTGGACTGTCAGGTGTTGTGCAAATAAAGAAGGGAAAGTCTGGGCCCTGTATCAGACCCTGGTCAATTTTCCAGTTATTATTATTTAGACAAACACTCTCTCCTTAGAGTTTCATCACTATTTCCTTCTTAATGAAAAGGGAGGGGTTAGTGAGAGTGGGAGCAATTCTGTGGGAGGAGGTGGTGAAGAGAGAATGGAGAGGAGAGTTCTTGGCTTCTGTTGTGGCGTCTTTTCTATTTGACTTCATGGTTGTAAGTATTTCCAGATGGTGAATCAGACACCAGACGTAACAATATTTCCATATTTGGGTATAGCAGTAGCCTGCGTTTTTAACATTTTTCTGCCTCTGTTATCCAACCACAAAACATTCTTGACAGCTTAAAATGTTGTTAAATATAGATTTAACTTCTGTTCCCAGAGCAGGAAATTCGTTGGAATTCCTTGTTTTTCACGCAATCTGTCTATCTTGATTTAAAATAAAATTATAGTGGATGATCCAACTGGCCGTATATAGCTTATTTCTTTATTGGGGGTTGAGGGGGAGCAGCAGAGGGACTCAGTCAGCTGCACAGCATTCAAACACTCGCCATTACAGAGACTCCCTTAAAAGATTAAAGTTTTCTAGTAAGGGTGTGTGGGTTTATTTCCTGACTCCAGTTGCGGAATCTTGGAAGATGGGTTTGTCTCGGAAGAGAAATTTATGAGAATCTTACCTTCAGTTGCCCTTGCAAAGAAAAGGGGGTGGGGTGGGGAAAGGAGTAAGGGAGAACTGGAGCAAAAGGGCCAGGAGGTGGGAAAGCCGGAGAAACGGAAGGAACCTATGTGCACAGGCTTTCCATATACATTGTCTTGGTCCGCTGCGAGTAAACGACCAAATCAAGAAAGAACAGAGGTTCCTCACATCCTGCTTAGAGACAGTCTAGAAATCTCAGACGTCCAAGACTCTCTTCTCGCCTCCTCTGCTGAGAGCTGCAATAAGTTCACGCTGACAGATTGGAGAGGCAATGTGCAAATGTTTATGGGTAAGTGTTGCTTCTGGTGCTTATTCTGCATGGTTCTTTTGCCCTTCCCCCTCCTTCTCCATACTGTTGGAGGGAATAACGGGCCGCCTTGTTTGCTTGGACTGTAAGGGACTGCTTGTCTTCCTTTAGGTCTGGACTGAGAGCTGAGAGGTGGGAACGTCTCTCACACACTCTGCCAGGTCACCAAAAGAAGGGTCCACTGTCTGGCCACAACTGGAAATAACATCCCTAAGCCTCTCAATTCCGGTTTTCCGGCCCTAGACTAATGGCTCTCAAACTGGAGTGTGCATCAGAATTACCCGGAGTGTGGGTTAAAAGCCAAGGTGCTAGACTGCACCCCTGACTTTCTGGTTAGTAACATTTCGAGCAAATTTCTAGGTGATGCGGCATCTGTTTGTTGGAATCTGCTTTTCGTGTAATCACACTGCTTTTGATGACAGAAGTGCCTAGATGGATGTGTGAAAGAGTGCACGTGCGTGTGGTACTAAATCTCACAGATCTCTTTATAATAGTCAGATCAACGAATAGAACAATTTATGTTAACTGCACAGGCCAGACCATCTCTCCTCTCCTCTCCTTAGAGCATGATTGCAGGGAAAGCCAGAGGCTGGCGGAGACTCTAGCGGCGGCAGAGGGAAGTGGGTGGCAGACGCACAGGAGAAAGTTTAGGGAGTCCCCGGAGCCCAAGTGCTGACCGAGCGGGGTCCACGTGGCGAGAGGGCGCGGGCCCGAGCTCCCAGGAAGCGCCTGGCGGCCCGTTGTCCCTGCCCGCCGCCCGGCCCGCGTTTCCGCAGTGGCTGCGGTTGCTAGGACAGAGTTTTCTAGGCGGTGCGAGGAGCAGGACGTGTCCAGCCCCGGCCCATATTTGGTGAAAGTCGTTCAAGACTTCGTCATCCAGTCTCTAGGGGCAGAAGCAGCAGCAGCAGCCGCAGCAGCCACGGCCCTGGGAGCCGGCCCGGCCATCGCGGGGCCGCCGCGTTCCTGAAAAGTGCGCCGTGGCCGCCCGCGCTTAGGTCTTGGGCGGCTCGGGGCCCTGGGCGTTGGGGGCGCGCGGCCAGGGAGGCCCAGTCCCGGGCGGCACCCAGAGGGCTGCGGCCCACCCAGCGCCGCGTGGGAGGCTGGCGAGGAGGGTGCCTCGGCCCCGATGCTGTCACTTTTCCCATCAATTTCACTGTTGACTCGTCCTCCCAGTGGGACAGCGAGTTGCTGCGCTGTGCCAAACTTAGAGGGTACGCCCAATCGCAAGCAAGTCAGCATGCGCACGTGTATGCTCGCGCGTGCGCCTGGGTAGGGTGGCCTGTCCTCAGACAGACAAACCCACTGGAGAGAGAGGACGTAGAATTGGCTCTAGGGAAAAACTCGAAAGGGCCTGAGCTCCATTATTCCCAGAAAGGAGAGAGATTACAGCTTACTCTTCAGTTTTCTCTTGGTCTCCCACAAACTCTTTCTTAAAACATTGGTTTATTGTGATTTGAGTGGACGTATATAAAGCATATTAGTTTTTCATTCAATCATTCATGCATTTTGTTTTACAGCATAAACTACAAACACCCTTACTATATACCTTATTATATTATGTCTGACCATCCACATATTATATACTGTCTTTCCTTACATCCATCTTAGTAAAGTGTCTGTGACCTATTTAATACTTTTCACTGTCCTGTCCCTCCCGTCTCATCCCTAGTAACCATCCAAGAAGAGTCTATCAGTATGTATACTTTTCTCTGGCTTTCTGTAATAGTGGTATTCATTATCAAGGAGTCCTTCGTGTTGAGAAAGCCATGTTAGCTGTGCAATCTTCTAGCTTGCATTGCTGTTTTTAGTTGGCATCAAGTTGACCCTGTGGACGTCGGCTTCAAGCCTTACCCTAACTGGCCATCCTTATCATCTATGGTATATTCGAGCCCATTGTTACAGTCACTGGGTCAAATCATCCAGCCAGGAGTCTTCCTCTCTATCGCTGACCCTCCATCTATCCAATGTATCCATGATGTTCTTTTCTAAGGCCTGGCTCTGCCTAACAACATGCTGAAACTATGAGATGAAATTTCATCTTTGCCTCTAAGGAACACTCTGGTTACATTTTATCAAGATATATTTGTTTGTTTTGACACTCCATGGAAAATCAGTACTCTTTTCACCAACATCACCACTCAAAGATGCTCATTCTTCTT